ATAGAGTGTATCAAACTCCATGGCTTTAGAGGAAAAAATTCAGGCGAAACCATAGAAACTCCGAAATAGCTATAGCTCAAACCATTGTCATTGCTTCTTTTAGAAATTCAATCAATCAATTACTTGCCATTGTTTGGAGGTATTCACTTCAAACGGAACGTCAGGGCGCTTTTCAATCAAACAAATCCGCCAATAACAAAAGCGGAAATGTCAACATGTACAGAATTCAAATTGTGTTTGATGAATAAATAATAATAAATCAACATGTTAGGTGGAAAATTCTCGAACAACACCTTCTCAATCTATAGGRATCTTTTCGCTCCTTTAATTACAGCTGTAAACTTGAAAGAATTGCTTTCTCGTTGCGAGTCGTTCTTTGATTYACTGCAAATAGTGAGGATATTTTTCTCTTAATGTGTGTTAGTTGTCAAGGCGTAACAGTCCAGTAGCTTTTACTTATTCAAATATTTGAGAGCCTTGCAACACTCCTTTATACCCCGAGAGGAGATGGGTGGATACGAGTAATRGTGATCATTGTCACATTATTGGGTGTTAAAAAGGTGTCAAAAGTTGTTTTGCCGTGAATACAGTAGAGTGTATGGATAAAATGGTGGAAGGATTAACGTCCGAAACGTCAGTAAGTTACTTCACATACTTTTTTACGGTGTTAAATTTATCCTTTTACACAACTGTGAAATTAGCAGTAAACTAGTGTGAGATGCGTTAATGTTTCTAAAGAAACAGTTTGGCAAAAACATAAATTTGAACACCGTGAAAAAGTACATGAAACAACTGACGTTTCTGACGTTAATCCTTCGTCGGAGTAAAAACGGATACTGGATAAATCCGTTTCCTCGCGCTACCAAAAATATTTTCTTAAGTTATAATGAATTAAGCACATGAGAGATGGGCCTGCGCACTATTTCTTGTGTTAAAAAATAGGTACATTTTGTTCACGCGCGGAAGAAGGAGTAACCAACCACACGTAGAAATGTTAGAAATGTTCAAAATACTGAGAAATGAAACATAATTATCAATTTTTATTTCAAAGCAGTGTTGAAYGGGAACATGGTATTTACAATCCACAATGTAACAGCAGTTATTCAACCAATWTTGTCAAATTTCGACAATTGAAAAAGTGATTTGTTATTGTTATTTCCAAACTCATCTCACGTTCTCAAATTTGGTTGTCCCACAAGGTGACCTATTTTGCGGAACCTGCTTTTTCTTTCTTCTTTTTTTCTGCTTCCTCTTCTTTCTCTTTCTCAATGATGGCAACAACTTTGTCCACGTCATCGGCTTGAAGAATCTGGAAAACCATAATGTGCCATGTTAATTATGGAAGAATTCCAGGAAATCACTCACATTCAACAAGGGTACTGTAAATGACTTTTTACAATTAATTCATCTGTCATTCTTTTTTGTTTGAAGGCTCTGTATTTTATACCAGTAGTCTAGGATTTATTGAGATAATTCATAATCAACTATTAATTTATAATCAATTATTATTTATCMTATACCTTCATTGGTTCACCTCTCTTCATTACAGCAAGTTCAATGTTTTTCCCACCTGTTTGGACAACCTGGGGAAATTTTCCAAAATCATAACCTTTTACACATGGGTGCATATATATTCCTTGATATCACAAGGTTGATAATAGACCTCTGCAGCTTTTACGTCATGTACTGTATACGCAATGCATTGTAGGACATGTTTGGGACAAAACATGGCGGATTTCTTTTGTTTTCTCTTGAAACTGATCCCACAATGCATTGAAAATCAAGTAGTGACGTAAAAGGTTCAGAAGTCTATAGTTCCACATTGATTCAGTGGTGGTAAATGGGATGCCTGTGTTACAAAGGAATCCCATGTCTTACACAGGCATCCCAATACCATTTCAATTTTGTTCAATACTCCAGTTTCGAATTCATAGCACAAAACTGCTGCTTTATTTGACAACAGATCTATTCTCTTGTGCAAAGACCTGACCAAACACAAAAGAGAGCACGAGAAAATGTTGTTATTACAATAGACTTCAAAATTTGCATTTTCCCCGAGTTGAGACTAACCCTGTATTCCCATGAGACCTAAGGTATGAGCCTTCTGGGAATACAGGGTTAGCCTCAACTCGGGGAAAATTTAAATTGTTAGCACTATTGTACAAGCAACATTTTCTCGTGCTTTCTTTTGTGTTTGGTGAGTTCTATGTGTAAGAGAATCTGCTGTCAAATAAAACAGCGGTTACTGGCTTTGAATTCAAACTGGAGTATTTTGTACTTTCTAGTCTCCTACCTCTAGGAGAGCCTTGACTGCAAGCTTAACAGTCTCATCATCAGAATCAGCTGTTTCTTCAGAGTAATGCTTCTCTAGAAATTCACGGACAGTCTTTGCACTACGCCCTATGGCATTTGCCTGTTAAATTAAATTTAGTCAACATTCAGCAAATTTATGCTGAAAGCTACAAGTGTTTGATATATTAAAGAGGAAAAGCAACAAAGAATTTTAGAAGGAAAACATTTCAAATTCTCCCGGGCAAGCTCTGTAGCAGTGTGGAATAATTTCGAAAGGAATTTACACCTAAAAACACTGTACATATTGACAACGATACATCTATTCACTGAAACATCAAAGCATTCATTTACTGGAACCTCCTCTATGGTCTTTCCAGTAAATAAGAACCCTTTGTGCAACATTTGTCCAGGGGTACCTGGACARAAGACTATTGTCTCACCTTCCAGGCATGATAAGTACCAGATGGGTCTGTCTGGTAAAGATTKGGTGTTCCATCAAAATCAAATCCAACTATTAATGTTGATATACCAAATGGTCTTCTTCCATTGCTTTGTGTATAACGCTATGGTAAAAAAATTATGTATCAATTCAAAATATATAATTGATAATATATGTTCAACACTTTAACTTGCACTCAAATAATATATTTGTTAAATGACGAAATAGTGCTGGCTTTTAAAAAAGAATTTCCTATTAGAATTACTATATGTTTTTGAGRAAAAAGGAAAAAAAAGATTAGTTCCCACACCGGGAATCGAACCCGGGCCACGGCGGTGAGAGCGCCGGATCCTAACCACTAGACCATATGGGAATCAGATACCTTTYCRTGTTTAAACTTTGGTATATAATGGATTTGTTTATACTATACCGGTCAAAATGAAACGTGTTTTCTATAGTAATCAGTAATTATGATTTCGACACTTAACTTACTTGTTTTAATGTAGCTATATGTCTTGTGATGTATTCTAATGTTACTGGGTCTTCAACTGTCAGTTTGTGACTCTGACATTCWACTCTTGCTCTGTTCACAAGAATTCTTGCATCCGCTGTCAAACCTTAAAAATATAAAAAATAGATTCAGCTAACTCTATTTCAATAAGTTTAATAAATTGCGAACTTAAATCTTGCACAAATGTACCTGCAAAAGCCATAAAAACGTGATCATCAAGGGAACAAATTTTGCGAACAGTTCTAGGATCTTGTAGCTTGGCTACTGCCTTTCGCTCGACTCCTAGTACAACGATATTCTTTCCACGAACTCCAACCTATCAAGAAAAGACACCAAACATTAATCTTCASATTAAAATGTCCAAAAATGTATCTTATATCAAGTTTTTTACGTGTAAAAATCGAAAATCCTACCGCGGTTGAGCCCTTCTTGACTGCTTCCTGTGCATATTCAACTTGAAAAAGGTGACCATCAGGAGAGAAAACTGTTATTGCTCTGTCGTAAGATCCACCTGACATTCTGTGTTAGTAAATATAGTAATTCAATAGTGAGATTTTATAAAACAAAGTTGAAGAAAACGTGAAAATCTTTTCTTTCAAATGAGAATGACTCGGCAACTTGGTAGCCAGGCGTTATCATGCAATTACCCAGAATGCAGTGTAAGACTAGCGCGCCAAAGACAAAACGGAAAAACAACAGCTTCTTCGAAAAAGGTTTGCTTTAATGTTTTTGCTTACTTGTTGTGATATTTCTTCTAACTAGACAATCTTGTATTATCTGTGCTATTTATGGCGCTTTTATCGGATTTAATTGCTTGAGAAAACATTGAAATTGTTAGACAATCGTGCCAGACACAACATCACATTCAAATCAGCTGTTTATAGTGAAGGTTGCATGCTTTCTTTAAACGCAGTTTTCTTTGTTAATAACTTATGTTAGCGAGTGCATTGATATAGTCTGTGAGTTAGAGTTTGATATTTTCTTACATTTGTATAATTTCCGCTAGAAATGTTATGTAGACAAAACGAAAATAAGATAAAAGGAAAACGAACTTTCAAAGATGGCGGAAGGCGAAGTTGGAAATAAACAGCCAAACAGGCCTCTACTACCCAGAAAGAACTATGCAATGGCAACACCGTCCGAAGATGATACTCCACGTACACTGGTTAGTATGAAAAATATCCTTGAATTTGAACAGTAATTGCAATGTTCTCGGTATGAATGTTTTGTCAATAATATTATAAAAAAAATAAATTGAAAATTATTGGAAAAAAATAAAAATCAACAATTGTATCTTTTTAGATTCAAGGTCTTCTAGAAGCTACATCTGTCAGCCAGAGCACCYKTCTGGTTGCTAAGAAAAGGCCAAGGATAACAAAAAGTCCCTCACTATCACTCCCACAGAAAAGAAGATCTTTGAGAAAATCCATAGGTGACAATGYAACTCCAAGAACACTTATAAAGAACATCTTAATTGAAGGTATAATATAAAC